AAAAATTTATGGGATTATTGATATTTTGCATGTTTTACGTCCATCCATTAAACGTAACCTTCAAGTTTGTTGTTCAAGAAATGCAATCTTAACAATAAAAGTTTACAAGTAGTTATTTTTCTATTTTCCTTACCGAGATTTTGTCGGGAAATACGTGCATACAGATATTATAAAATCAAATTATAAATAATCAAACGGTTTGTTTAGATTTTGTTTGTATATATGTTGGTTCATATTTTATACATTTTTTGAGAAAAGCAGCTAAAATTATTAAAATATATTATGTTAATGTGTTATGTAAAATCTATACTAATATATAAAATCCTTAAGTGACTGACTCATTGATTAATCACGATCCTGCTCAAACCACTCAACGTAAGAAGCTCAATTTTGGCATACAGGTTGATTCTAGGGTGTTCTAGTTCGACAAGAAGGGATTTTTCGAAATTCCAGTTCCAAGAGGGTGAAACCACCCCTCAAATATTACAATATTTTTTATTTAAAAAATGGCCAAGTTTCCGAAAAAACACTTAAACACGTATATTTTATTTTGTTTTTTTACATTTATGTCACTGATGGCAGGTATTGATAATTTAGATTCCAAATATCTAGAGAACCATTACTCGTAGCGATTTTTACCAAGACACCTTTTTGGCGTAAAAAAAACGTCGTAATTGTATATTTTTTAACTCAGTAGTTTTATACGGGTACAGACGAAAAGTTATTGCTCTTCAAACCAGTTAAAAAACATGTAGGTGGCGCCCTCTACAAATAGGAGTCATATTGACATCAAAATCATATTTTTCATGGCAAAAAACTCCTAGACACCAATTTTCGTACAAATATTGACGTTACTTCAAATATTATTTGGAAAAAATCGAAATAAAAATGAAATTTCTACACCCTGTATCTCCGAAACTAACCATTTTAGAACATACATTTATACGATTTTTTTTACATATTTTAATCTGCAGAATATGCTGCCGAAGTTTCCGGAATACAGTTCGAACCACCCTGTATATGTCAATTTCAAATATAAACATCTTTTCACTTGCTAGCTTTACTTAAATAAATAAATGCCTTTTTGTAGACAAAGGTAAAGTAAACAAACAAAGTAAATAAACAAACAAACAAACAAAAGAGAATAAAAAACATTATACAAATGCATTGTCAGTCTGTTGATGATGTTATGAATTTGATTTCAAATGTAAGGTGATTGTGCATTTTTTTGGAGTTGTATGATATTGAACTTTTAACTAACTATGAGCGTGGGGTAGGTAGATAAAGATCTTGCTCCGCGTTTTTGAGTGGATAAGTGTAAGATGGCCTTTCTTGAGAAGCTGACACATGCTTACGTATTAGGCAAACGGATTCAAATATAAATAAGAAAGGAAGAGTTAAAATTTTAAATTTTTTAAAAAAGTCCTGTCAATGAGTTCTTATAAACAAACGCAAACCTTTCCTTAATTCCATAAAAAAAACGGGAGAAAAAAAATCCGTGTAAAAAATCGCCAGATATTTCTTTCTATGTTCGGGTTGGTTTCTTGAGAAATTTTGCTCATTCAGTTGCTCACCCTGGAGCTCCATTATCGCCTACCTCGACCTTTACTAATGCCCGGTCATTTTTAAATTCTTTTCCCAAGTTCTCCTCTCAGAAGACAAATGGCGTGCACTATCTTAAGGTTACTCTAGTTCCACCGTAAGAATTTAAACGCGGAGAATGGTCTATATTTTCGAGAGTAATGGTTTTTTAAATTAGAAAATTTAAAAATGGAAAGTAGAAAGTAGTATACTTACGTACATAAGCAGAACTAAGTTTAGGGTTCATAGAAAATAGGCCTTCAAATGAGAAGTTTTGGCAAAAAACTTGAATTTTTAATATGAGTTACTTTGAAAGATTTAAAAACGAATTGTGAAAGATTCTTTTTTAAATTTAGCCCCGAGAAGGGGTGAAATAAATAAATAAAATTATTTTTTTCGAAATTTCGGAGAAAACAAAAGTTGTGAAGCGTCAAATTTTACATAGAAATGATCTCTACACTTTTTTTGCTCAGATAAAAATTAACCCAGATATGGTGGCTGGACGCTAAGGGATAATAGTAGAACTTTAAAAAAATATACAAGGTGGTCCAAACTGTATTCCGGAAACTTCGGCAGCATATTCTGCACATAAAAATAAGTAAAAAATTTCGTATAAATGTATGTCCGAAAATGCTAAGTTTTGGAGATACAGGGTGTAGAAGTTTCAATTTTATTTCGATTTTTTTTAATTCACTCCGAGAAGGTTTGAGAAATATAAATAAAGTGTTTTTTTTCCAAATTTCGGAGAAAACGGTAATGACTGAAAAAAAAATCAATAAAAGCTGTGCTCTATCTTCTAGCCACTATATCTCGGTTAAATTTGAGCAAAAAAAGTACAGAGACCATTTTTATGTAAAATTGGACGCTCTTATTGGCTCGGATGTTACCAAAAACGATTATTGAAAATAAAATTATACCCCCCTATACGATTTTTATGGACTTTACATCTTGAATTCTCATGTACTATTACTATAATAAAGAAATAATTATGATATTACATTACAGTGTATTTTATAAATCAAAATTTAAATTAAAATTACTTTTTACGATTGTTGATAAAAAACAGCATGCTACTAAAAACAGCGACCGAAAAGACAGAAATACACAAGTACCTCAACAGAGTTGTCATTTTATACTATGAAGAATGTAGAATGTTTAGGAGGGGAGTTAATCACCGCGACCTTATAGATCTATTGTGTGTTTCCCTTTCTTGAGTTATAACGAGTTATAACTCATCATACAGTCTCAAGGTTCATGTCACGAATGGTCGTCGCACAGTGCTTCGAACATATGGCTCTAGAGGACAAAAATGCAAAACTTCTCTTTTATTGTAGGCAATTTATTCAAACTAGGTTTATTTGACACAAATGATGAGTACTCTCATTGTACTAAATGATGATGTTCTTAGTCCCACGTTTATGAAAAAAAATCTTATAAATAATAAAAATGTTTGAGCTGTGTTCCATCTAAGGAAAAAATAATTTATAGTATGAAAACGGTGTAAGTATTAAATAAGTCCCTGTGATAAAAAAGAATTCTAATAATATTAGAACATGATTCCTACAATATAAACCTAATATAAGATCAAAATGTTTTTCTTTAATGAAAAAGAAACATTAATGATATATTTAATTAAAAAAAAATCTTAAGATACTATAAATTTACTTTAGGACAACAAAATGCATAGATCGTAACTACTCTGATTCAGAAGAATCATTGCTGACAGAACCTTCCAAATTTATAGTATCCAAATCACAGGTAGATGAAATATCCTCACATATAAGATATTTCTGTACATCATTTTCTAATATGTTACTTTTTCGCGTTGTTACTGTTCTTTTTGTTGGTATGAGGGGTTCGGATGTTAATAGTTACCTCTTTAATAGACCATATCCATATATTATTTTTTCGTTTTCTTTGGTATGAGGTTTTATAATAAATTGAAAGATGGAAACATTTTTTATGCCACATTTCGCTCCAACATAGTGAGCTCAGGCACAAGTGGTTATAAAATTGGACTGGAAGGTTCATCAATATCTAATAAAGAACACATTTTTTGAAATATAAATAATTTTGAGTTCTTGTCCTTATGATTAAGCCAAGTATTAACCAGATCGGCATTGCTTATCAATTTTACTCCATCTGAAAAGTATTAAAAAATAAAGTCCGTCGCAAGCGGACGCAGGTGAACTATACAAAAATTAAAAGTGTATGAATATGGCAACAAAAATATTCAATAAATACGATATGTTTTGATATGTTTTTTTTAATGACTTTTTGAAGTTTGAAAACGTAAAATTTTTATACCCATTTAAGAATCATCTTAAAAAATAAATAAAAACTAAACAATAACGAACTTGTTTAGAAATAAATTTAAAGTACATACCTTGTTTAACAATATCCATAGTGGCTTTCAATTAAGTACATACCGTTTAACTCCATATACAGAACTACTATGAATGTTATTCTTTTCACTGATATAAGATAATGATCGCAAAATTTATTTTTGGTGAAAATATTTGCTAACAAAAACGCTGTTTATGAAAAATAATATACAGGATGGTTGAACATTGCTATAAGTATAAAATTATATATTCAGATATTAGTAAATTTTAACTTATTTTTTGATTTTTGTCCATGGGACGAAGCACTGTGCGTCGTCTCGGCGCACTCAGTGATAAGGTGTTCTGGTGTTTCCCCATTTTCCCCACAGAATCTGCATTCGCCGTTGCTTCTCAGCCTACTGAGGTGTTCGTTGAGGAGACAGTGTCCTGTTAGAAACCCCGTGACAATCCGAAGATTGTTTTTATTTAAATCAAGGAAAACCTTTGATTTTTGTCGCTCGTAAGTTCTGAGGAACTTTTTCGAGTGTCTTAGACCGTTGGAGGACACCCATTCCAAGTAATGGATGGAGTCTTCTTCCCGATTCTTCAGTTCCGTTTTCAGCTGGTTCCCGTTTGGAAAACAGAAAGATTTTGGTCTAGTTAGTTGAGTATTCGCTCCTTTCCTAGCTAGATCATTTGCTTTTTCATTGCCTTCTATCCCTTGGTGAGCAGGCACACAGAGTAAGAGGACCTTATTTTCTTTGGCTAGTTTGTTGAGCTTCTCTAGGCATTCTTTGACCAAGTTCTAATTGATCGTTACTGAATTGATCGCGTTAAGTGCTGCTTGACTGTCGGATAGGATGGCAATTTCCTGTTTTCGATAGTTCCTATCTAAGATAAATTGTACGCATCTTTCGATAGCGTAAATTTCTGCCTGAAGGATACTGGGGTAGGTGCCCATTGGTTCGGAGTATTTAGTTTTCGGCCCAAATACTCCTATCCCTGTCCCTGCTTTGATTTTGGAAGCATCAGTATACCACATGATGGAGATTGGAGAGTGCCTTTAAAAAACTCGACTGGGAGGGGAAGGGACTGATGATTGATGGCAAGAACCTCACAAATTTGCGTTTTGCTGATGACATTGTTTTATTATCCGACAACCTAAGGGATACTGAAGTGATGCTCCGAGAATTGGCGGGAGGAGGTGTGTCGGGGTTGTACTGAAGATCAACTTCTCAAAAACCAAATTCATGACCAACCTGATTCCCAGTGCAAATATTGTTGTGGGTGACAGTGAGGTGGAGCTTGTGTGATAGGTATAACTACCTGGGACACGAGATACAGATCACAAGAGACAATCAGACATACGAACTGAAGCCAGATGCTCAAGGCAACGCCCTGTCTTGGGCCGCCTATGGAAAGTTACAAGATGTGTTTAAGGGCGACCAGCCAATCGTCGCCTAAACGAGAGGTTTTCAACCAATGTGTACTACCGGTTATGACGTATGGAGCTGAGACCTTGACACTGACCATCGCATCTGCTAAGAGGCTCTGTGAGTGGCACAGTGACGAATGGAAAGATCAATGCTTGGAGTGTCTTTGCGGGATCATATAAGCAACGAGGATATACGTGCGAGAACAGGCGTCATCGACGTTGTGTCACGAATCGCTACACTCAAGTGGAAGTGGGCTGGACATGTGGCTCGAGTGACCGATGGTAGGTGGACCACTGCTCGAATGGAGACCGAGAGCTGACAAAAGAAACCAGGGAAGACCACCAACACGATGGACTGACGATATAAAAAGGATCACCAATAACTGGATCCAAAGCGCACAAAATAGGCAACAGTGGGCGCAAATGGGGGAGGCCTATGTCCAGCAGTAGACGCAAAGGGCTGGCTGATGAAGCGTTTCTTTCTTTCAATCCTTTTTATTACTCAATACTACAGTGAGGTGTTTCTCAAAGTTGAAAATTCTTGGTATGTCATCCACTGGGAGTTGGAGAAGTGGAATTTTCTTTTTGAGGGTGTTCCAAGCCCCTAACCTGAAAATTCTCCCGGTACTGTTTCCGTCAATGGCCATTCTAATCATTGTCGCATTGGCATAACTACCGACGACAATGTGCAGTGGTGTTAGGTCTAGAATGACCTCCATTGCTGCTATTGGACATGTTCACATGGCAGGGTTTCTGGGCTATTTTATACTATAGACTAATACTAATCTTTCATACCCAAATCCAGGAAATGTTTCTCACATTGTTAGGATTATTTTGTTTTGAACTATTTTCTCAGGGCTACTTTTCCTGGAGTTACTTTAAATGGGCTTCATTAAATTTAATACATATTAAGGAATAAACATAAATCATTACGAATTTAAAAATAAAATACACAAAATAAAGTTTCATCGTATAAAAATGTTGATGAAGTCCGGAATCCTTCATCACATCTCCGCCTCCTACAAAGGAAAAATATTAAAATATAAATAATGAAATAGCATGCCAGGGAAATTTATATAACTTGATTTATTTCCCTTCAGAAGAAAATTTATTAACTGCTCCTTTCATATTTAATAAGCTGTGGAACTAACCCGCTGCAAAATGTCTATTACGAATAAACGACTAGAAAATATAAAACTGGAATAGATGACATTGCACGTAAAAAGTCTCTTAAATAGAATATAATTTGTTGGAAATTTTTTTCATGGAAAAATCTTAAAAAATGTGGGTATTTTCACCCTATTTTTTTGGTGTCAAACCAAAAACCTTCAAGTTCAATTTTTTAATGTGTTATTGACGGTATTGATGACAATAATAATTTTAATTTTTTTTTCAAACGTCACAAAAGTATTAATTTTTGCGACGTCATTGACAATATCGAAAGGTCATTTTAACGCCTCCCAAGTAGCATAGGAAGGAGAAAAAAACATTTACCACGGAAAATTAACCACTATTTGGTTGAATTTTACCTATATTTAACTTAATAAATTTCTTGTAGGGAATAAAGTGCGAGAAATCTAAAAATGGAGGTCGTAAACTAGTTAATAATAACCTAAAATTATGCCTTTGAAAAGTAGCAACGTTGGAGTTAGCTGGCACTGTTAAAGTCTAGTTACTGATAACCTATTGAGGGCATTAAGACTACAGCGACTTAAAGTAGGTCAAATGTTTGGTTTGCAAGTTAGGTTAAAATTTAGTTGTTAATAACTTTAAATGGAACCTTATTTAGAGGAGTTCAAATTAGGTTGAAAATTTCACACCTCTACTTTTCAACCAATAACATGCTTTAATGTTGACTAGTTACCATGGCAACTGAAAAAATTTCCGGAAATTTTTTCGAGGCGCCACGAAACTTTAGTGGAAATTTTTTGACAGTTGAAAAGGTAAACATAAGATCTACAATCATAATGTGAATGAACTACAATGTCTATATATTGAAATATTACCCATTTGAGTTTTAGCATTTGATGTAACTAAGGTTGGTAATATTTTTTATTTAAGGAAATATGTTAGATATACCTACATATGAATTTCTTCGAAATTGCCATGTTCTAAAAATATAGTTCTGCCGCCTTTATTTAACTTAAAGCTGGTATTTTTCTATTTAACGAAATATGATGGATACACTTGATTTTGATTTTCGGGTGTTATCTGGTTTTATATTTTCAATTTCTTCTTTAATGACTTGTTGGTTTACTTTTCCAAATCGCGACATTTCGCTACATACACTTCTTACTCTACGTACAGACGTTTTAAAACTAGTAATAGCTTAATGACAGAATCAAAACAAAAATGACAAAACACTATAATATGTCAAAAACATCAATACCTTGGCCAACTTAACAAATTGAAATTATTTTAAAATGTCATGTTGATTAATATTTTTTCAAATTTAGGTGTGAAATTTTCTTACCGAACCACCGCAAAGCTTAAATTATTCCTGGAAATTTTCTTTCGGGCACGAATATTTTAGGAAAATTATCCCTCGTCTTCGACTCGGGATAATTTTCAAAATATTCGTGCCCTCAAAAAAATTTCCGAAAATAATTTAAGCTCTTGTGATATTATAAGTGAAAATTTAATTTATTTCGACCTCATAAGTCGCTATTATGCTTCAAAGGTAAAAGTAACTTAGTTTTTTGACTTGGAAGAAAGTCAGATATACGGCAGGTTAAAAATTACCTTTTTTAATTTCCTCGGGGTAATTTCCGTTTAAAATAGTTTTCGAGGGATTATTACGTCATAGCACATTACCTTGTTACTGGTGGGGAACGACAGAATATTCAATTGCTCTCCTCCTTTCACGCAGTTGAGCAGCTCCGAACTGTTCAAGAACGCGATATTCTCCCTCCATTCAATTGAGTCATAAAGTTCCAGAACTGTTCCGCGCCATATGAAGGCAGCAGGCTATTGCGCACAGCTCCTTTCAGAACCGTTCTCGAGTAGCCCAGGGCGTAAAGCACTGGAACTTGAAGTTCGCGAATGGAGGACAGCAAATGCATTTCTTTTTTATTACCGACACAATCTTAAACGTGTCCATTATGTGCAATAAAAACAAAAAGTCGTCTATAATAACACTCACAATCCCAAAACACAAAACTTATAAAAACAATAAGCAAAGAAAACTAATTTGGTTTTCTAGTTAGTTAGTGTTTTAGTTTAGGCCAGTTCGGTAATTGCATCGGCTAGGGAAAGGATAAAAATTTGACATGTCACGTGACTCTCAATAAATATTCTCATTTTAGGACACATGATTACTGTGAAAAGTTAATCGGATTGCTCGAAGATGTAATTAGCGTTATTGTTGACAATAATAATTTTAAAAAAATATTTTTTTTCAAACGTCACAAAAGTGTTCATTTTTTCGACGTTATTGGCAATATCGAAAGGTCATTTTAACGCCTCTAGGCATAAAAGTAAAGCACTTTTACGCATAAGCACAAAAGTACGAAAATATATTATTAAACTGACATAGCGTGTCAAATTCAACGAGCGTCACCACAGTTTATCGATATACAGGGTGGTCCAAACTGTATTCCGGAAACTTTATAAGCAGGAAGCAGTATACTCTGCAGATTTCCTACTAGTAGAAGGCGCCATCTACATATTTTTAACTGATTTGAAGAGTAATAACTTTTCGTCTGTACTTGTATAAAACTTCTGAGTAGAAAAATATACATTTGCGACGTTTTTTTTACGTAGTCTCTTACGTAGTCTAAAAGGTCTCTTGGTAAAAATCGCTACGAGTAAAGGTTCTCAAAATATTTGGAATCGAATTTATCCATACCTGGCATCATTGACATAAATTAAACATGTTGACCAAATAGTTATTAGACTAAAATGATAAACTTGAAATGTTTTTGTGCCAAAAGTTCAACAGAAAGTGTTTTATCATTATTTTTTGCAGAAAAATTTATGAATAATTTAAAAAAATAAAAATTTCCCAAATTTATTATTTCAGTGAAATAAATATCTACTATCTACCATTCTAAATATCTTGAGAACGGTTGCTTGTAGCGATTTTTACAAAGAGATATTTTTTACGTAAAAAATCATGGAAATATATATTTTTTCACTCTGTAGCTTTATACAGATACGGACGAAAAGTTATTACTCTTTAAAACAGTTAAAATACGTGTAAGTGCCGCCCCCTACAAATAGGAGTCATATTGGCATCAGAATTAAATTTCTCAGGTTGAAGAACTCCCAGACACCAATTTTTATCCAAATATTGACAGTACTTCAGAAATTATTAGGAAAAAATCGAAATCAAAATGAAACTTCTACACTCGGTATCTCCAAAACTAAGCATTTTAGGACATACATTTTTACGAACTTTTTTACTTATTTTTATCTACAGAATATGCTGCCGAAGTTTCCGGAATACAGTTCGGACCCCCTGTATAATTGGACATACAAGGTATTACTTTTAAATATTTTTATATTATTTGCAACGTTTAAAATGGTTTAAAAATTATTTGTAACGTTTGAAAAAAATAGCGTGTTGTATTCGGAGTGAAAATAACTTGTTCTACCTCGCCTGTAATGTCAAACCTACAACACCGCCATAAAAATTGTTATTTTTACTCATAATAAAACAATATACTATTGTTCTTAAGTTCATTAGCAAATATGAGCTATTTCAATTTTTCCTTATATTTTGAGTATGATCACAAATAAGGCAATAACATATTATCCTAGTAAATAACTTTGTTCGGCTGCTGATATTAATTCTGACGAGATTTAGTCTGACATGAGCTGGCGCAATAATGAAAACGTGGTGTCACTGCGATAATATTCGAGCGTTCCGCTTGACGAAACAGTTCCTCGCAGATCCTTATTAAAATTTACATGCCTTCAGTTACGTTTCGCTTCAGCCACGTTCATGTTAATTAGTATTTGATGCGGCGTTAATTCTAACCGACTGATGGCGTAACGATAAAACGCCCAACAGCTTCAAAGATTCATT